GATCTTTATTAGATTTTTTGATAAAATATTGTAACTATCCATGTTCTTCTATTATAATTGTAATGTACTTTTATTGTCAAATAATGTTTATTATTTATTATGAAATGTTCTTTGAATTTTGACTTTGAGTCAAGCCGGATAGTTTCACATAATGTTCATTGCATAATGTTATCATGTTCTTTATTGATTAATATCATGGATGTTCTTGATCCGAAAATAAATCATCAATAGAGGAAGACCAAAAGAATATTGCCATCATCTATCAACCTTTGTGATCCTGATTTCAACCAAAAAACATACACTATTAGTACTTGGTAATTCGTATTAAATAAAAAAAAATAGTATTAATAAATAATATTTAAAATTAATTTTATAATAATAACAAATGATGGTAACAATTAATTTTAAAATGACATTTTTTTTTGAGAAAAATTTTAAACTGACATTTGATAGAATAGAAATTTGTGTTACGCACTCAATGCCTACAAAAAAAAAAAGAACATATATGATAAAACATAATTTCCCAAAATAATATAAGTTTAAAAGCAAGTGGACATGAACATTGAAAAGCATATTAATTCAAGTAAAAAAAACATTATTTGTATCATTGAGATCCAATGAACATTTTTAATTTACATATCTTAAAGAACATAATTTGTAAGATAAAGAACATATAGTTACGATCCAAATAACATATTGATCATACTTAAAGAACATATTTTATCAAAAAAAATAAAAAATAAAAAAATAAAAAATAAAAAATGAGCATGGATCAATTAAAGAAATGATTAATGAACATTCATCACAATTCAAAGAACATCGTCTTCAACCTTTGACACATTGTTCTCAAATTCAACATACAAATTCATCAAATATCAAAATTTAAATTAAATAATGAATTCGATGATAATAATGAAAAAATACTCTTTTTAAAATCCAAAATAACATAGTTAATGTGAAAATTATTAAATATGAAATTTTATCCAAATTACCTTCTCCTTTGTTTAACATATCCTCAAATTCACCTTCATTTTCAATCACACCATTCGCATAACCATCAACATAACAGCAATCGGAATCATGATGAAATTCTGAATGCACAACCATTTTCTATTTCTCTGGCTAAAAAAAATTCAAAATACTGAAATATGGAGGATTATAAATTTAGATAATATTTCACATAACTAATTTTGTGCTGCTTTTTTTTTTTATTTTTTTTATTTTTAATCCTCCTTAACTTAAGGAACGTATATTTCACATAACTAATCTTATGCTGCTACTTTTACTCGGGTGTACCATGGTGTACTATGTAATTTTCATTAAAAAGAAAAACCTTTAACACCACGAAAATTTCATAAAAATTGGTTTTTACTACCATTTAGTCCCTCCGTCCCAGAATATCTAGGACGCTGGGCTTTTACACTATTTATATACTTCGTATTAGTTTTGAGTCTTTGACGATAATTTTTTACTAACATAATGAAAACATATTTTTATCATAAAATATGTTATTAAATGGGTATTAATAATAAAGTTTCATAATATGATTTTAAGTTATTTCATCAAATTAAATGCCCCTGATTAATTCACTTATTCACAATATACTCATGAAACTTTCCAAATACACCATATACCCCCAGTTTAACAAAAATGCCCCCAATACCCGTATGACTAACGGACGTCAACTTCGTTATTTAAAGCTAATTGTGCTACGTGGCAGCTGCTAATTGGTTGTTTTTTAATCTATTTAATTAATTATTAAATTTTTTTTTAAGAAAATTAGCCCAAAATCGTAGCCACCTTCCTCGGCACACCACCACCAACCCAACCTATGGCGCAGGTCACCGACCGTCGCGCGATCGCCCCATGGTTTGGCTAACCCGAAAAATCTAAACTCTAAATCTCCAAATCAAAACCCTAAATTTTGATTTTTGGGGTTTAGGGTTTTGAGTTGGTGGTTTGGGGAAGGAGATGGTATGGGGAGGGGAAAATTAGGTTCGCCGATACAGGGGAGAGGGTTTGGAGGCGTTGGCAGGTGGTAGGGAGGTTTTTTTTAGGGAGATGAAGGTGTTTTATCTAGGTTGTGGGGATGGTGGTTTGGGGGAAGGGGAAGGGAGATTACAGGAGGATAGGGTCGGGCCGGCGCCAACGTCGGGGTTTAGGAGGTCAAGGTCGGGCTGACACCAGCGTAGGGTTTAAGGGAGGCGGCGTTGGTGGCGGCGATGGTGGTGGTTAGGGTTTGTGGGCCGGGTTTTTTATTTTATTTTTGTAACTTTTGATTTTTAATTTTTTTCTAATAATTTATTAAATGAAATTTTGAATTTTAACACCACAAAAAAAAAACCAAAAAAATGTTTTTTAACACTAAAAAAAAAGCCTTTATTTTAACACCAAAATTTTTTAAAAAAATTGTCTTTTATCACCATTTAATATATATATATATATATGTATATATACACATATATATGTATATATGTATATATATATATATGTATATGTCTATATATATATATATGTATATGTATATGTATATATATATGTATATATATACCCACCGTCAGCGGCGCACCACCACCACATCTTCACCCTAAACCTCCCATTTCCAACCCCAGCTACCGGAACGGCCACAAAAAATGGTCGTTTGTTTTTCAAACAACCCAAAAACGAAAGGCCACAACCGCCACTTACGGGTAAAATCGACTGATTTAAGGTCAAAATCGACCATTTTGGCCCTAAACTGGCCGATTTCGACCACTAGTGGCTGTTTTTTAAGGCCGTTTTTAAGGGTTATGAAAAACGGTGGCTGTTTTTGGTGATCATTGGGGAGGGTTGTCGGTTTTGGAGACGGGGAAAGGGAGGGAGCGGATTTTCCGGAGGCTTGAGCTGGGAACACGGGGAAAGGAAGGGAGCGGATTTTTCGGAGGCTTGAGCTGGGAACGGGGAAAGGAAGGGAGCGGATTTTCCGGAGGCTTGAGCTGGGAACGTGGCTGTCAAGGTGAGAGTATGGTGCCGGCGCGCTGCTGAAGGTAGGGCTAACAGTTGGGGTGGGTGGCTGGGGTAGATTTAGGGTTTTGTTTTTTTTTTTTAAATGTTTTGGACTAATTATATGCTTACACGTGGCATTGCAGAGCCCACTAACGGATTTCATCAATGAATCGGTTAAGTGGTGGTAAAAGCCATTTTTCGGTTTTTTTTGTGGTGTTAAAATAAAAGAGTTTTTTTTTTGTTTTTTTTTTTGGTAGTGCTAAAAACCCCTTTTTTGGTTATTTTGTGGTGTTAGAATTCAAAATTTCCTCAATTAAATAAATTAGGAAAAAAAACTAATTAGCAGATGCCACGAGGCACAATTAACCCTTAATGACTAACGGAGTTGACGCCCGTTAGTCATTTGGGTATTTGGGACATTTTTGTTAAACTCAAGGACATGATATATGAATAGTTTCATGGGTGTATTGTAAATAAATAAAAAAACTCAGGGTTATCTACTGAAATAAACATTTATTTATCACCTGATAACCTTTTAAATATTTCACATTGGACTTTTTCAAAATGTTACTAAAACTTGTATCCATTTTTTCTCACCCACTCAACTTTTTACTCACTCTCTCTATTTCTCTTAATTCTTGTGCAAATAGTACTTCTTAACTTACTAATTGATTGTCTTATACTACCTCATATAATTTTTCCAAACTATCTCATATATTAACGTTTTATTTTTTAAAAAAATGACGTTCAGGGGCGTCCCAATCATTTTGGAGGCCCTGTTCTAAACTTGGAAATTGGGCCCTAATTTTTTTTTTAACGAAATTATCATATAACAACATTTTGAACGAAACTCAAAATCGCAAACTACTTTATTTAAATTGTAAATAATATGATTATTATCAAATTACAATCTCAAATTAGTAAAAATGCAAAAAGGATTGAAACAACTAGATAAAAAAAAAAAAATCCGCAACTTTAATTGCCAAATTTGCCGGGTTTTCGCAACCCACTTCGCCACTCACTAATCAGTTCAGAAACTCCATGGCATTCATCTTCTTGAGTTCTTATTAACCACTTAACTTATGCCCAATTTATTATTATTACTAATTTACAATGAATCTTAATTTAATTTTTTAAATTCTGAAATATAATTTGTATATGATAACAAAGGTTATTGAAGAAAATAGGAGATTGAAAAGAAATTTAGGGGTAAAAAATTTAACTACTTGATAAACAAAAATTAAGGGGTTTAATTGTGCAAAACATGAAATCAATTTTTCCTTGAAAGCAATTCAAGATTTGAGAAAATATACTTCATGCCCGTTGTAATTGATAGAAGGCAAACCGTTAAATATGGAAATTGAATAATTTGGGGGTTAAATAATAAAATTAAATGAGAAAATAGGAAGAATTAAAAGGGAAGATAGAAAATTAGGAAAAAAATATTTCAGAAATTTGTAGGTTTGAGCAATTCACGAAGTATGGGAAGATGAATCTAGACAACTGATTAATTATGGGAGTAAATGGAGGAGGCTGACTTTTAGCTTTTCATTGCCTAAATCAGATTTTTTTTTTCTTCTTCTTATGGCTGGGTTGGGCTTCGTAAATAGGGGCCCTTAAAATTTTGGGGCCCTTTACTGAGGGCCTGTTTGCACAGGGCCTTAACCGGGCCTGTATATGAGGTAAATTATATGAGGTAGTATAGGACAATCAATTAAATATTAGAATAAATCAATACAGAAATTAAAGCCTTAATTTACAAGAAATGGGGGAACTGAGGAAGCACTCCACCATCATACTAACTCAATTAAGTTACAACCGTTCATAGATTTTTTTTAAAAAAAAAACAAGAAACTTGATGAGAAAGAGAGATTCCTTCACGTTCTATACATTATTTTTCTCATGTTTTTTTGCGAATGTAATGAGCAAAACTAAGCTAAAATTACTAGGATTTCACTAAAAAAATGGCAGGCAAAAAAAAAGGAGGGGGGGGGGGGAATTGATTATTGAAAAAAATAAAATTGTTTGCTCATCAAGTCCAGGAGATGTGAAAAGGCCAAAAACTACACTCAGGTGTATGATGAAATTTGTATCCGCTAATGAAAAAGTTGCTTCGTATATCCTCGAGATTTACTAGCAGAAACATCTCTTGTTCTTCTCTTAGAATCAGAGATCAACTGCTGTTTAAACGTAGCAATAAATGCTTCAACTCTTCTATTAAGCTCTTCTTCTGACAACTCCATATCTTTTTCCACCTTACTATTAACAACATTGCTTGTTGTCTTCTTACCTGTCAATTCATAACTTTGACCATTACAAGTAGTACTAACACTACTTTTAGTTACTACTACATCGGATTTATGTTTATTAGCCACAATTTTCTCATCTACATTGCTGTTGCCGTGGTGATCCTTAGCGCTTGACCCGGTGCAGAAGTGAAGAGATGTGAATAAGACGGCTAGCAACACTAGGTTCAAGAGAAGAAATATACGAGCACGCCATTGCTCTACCAAGGACACCACCACAGCGCGTCGAAAACAAAGCATTAACAAGGCAATTACCATTGTGAATATGGCAGTGTGTAGATGTTTTTCCTCTACTAAAACTTTCCTATCCATTTGTTTTTGTAATTCAAAGATACAGAAAAAAATGATAAAAGAACAAACACTTTTTTTTTTTTTAGGCTAATAAGCTTAAAAGGTGGTGTATAAATGTTTGAAGGTTCCTTTTATAAGGCAGGGAAAGAGTGAAATGATACATGGAATCTACCTGACCTAGGATGAAGTAGAGAGTATATAACTAGTGAGCAATGAGCATGCTTACCAAAATTATTTTTTTATTTGCACATGCTCACAATAATAAGGCACCATTTTTTATGGTTACTTAAATTATATTGAAATTCGAAATGTCATTCTAATTATTAGTTTGAATTCATTAGAAACTATATTAAAATTAGGTAATCAATACAAGTAATTATCATTTTTCAATTTTTATTATTAAAGTTTAAATTTTCAATCATTAAAAATTGCTAAATTATGCTTCTATAAGTGGAAATTCTAGGTATCATATGGATCATAAGTGATACTAGAAAATATAACTATCAGCTTTATTTCAAAAAAAAAAAAAAAAAAAAAAAAGTTATTTCCCGAACATTTTTACATAAACCACTAATGTAATCATTAATTAGCTAAATTACTTAAACAAACAACTATTAGTTGAAAGCTAACCTCACATTGCCAAACAGGGCTTAAAATTTAGGTTGTCAGAAGTTAAATTCATGCTATGGTAATGCATACTCATTATGAATCAACATGATTTGATTAATCTATTCATCTTTATTTATTATTGGCTAATGTATTAGTGAATTGTCTTAGCATATGCATCCAAGCATCTTTTAAATACAAGTATAAATGAAGACAAGCATGTTGATGAAGTTGCAACAAAATGTTGAAGGCACTAAGGTTGGTTGGACGTGACAAACTTCACAACTTTAACAGTTTAACATGCTAATATATGAAAGTGGGATGAGCATGACATTGATATATCAAATACCAAGTAGTAATAGTAAATTGTTCTTGTCTTCTTGAGGAAATGTACAAGTTGAATTGAACAAAGTGTAAGAGAAAGTAAGAAAATAATGTTGGAAGATGGCAGTGAGCCGTAATGATCAAGGGAAGTCAGAGAGTGAGATGGCGATGTGTGCAGCTTATTTTGGGGGACACAAAAACATACTCCTCCACTCATTTACTTTGTTTTTTTAAAAATAAATATGCTCTTCTTATGTTATCATTCTTAGTTTTTTTTTTTAACTGTCTCCTGGTGTTGGTTTTCCCACCTTTTTGGATTTTCTGTTTTTTTTTTTCTTCTATCGGAATACAGCTCCTATATGTTTACAAAACATATATGAGAGTAAAATTGTAAATTTGATAAGCTTTTGGAGAAAGTTCACTCTGCAGTGGTATATTATAATATACCATTATGTTATGTATTATTATATATGTATAATGTACTACTAAAATATAAATTGTCTGAATAATAAAAATTCTAGTATAGTCGTCGACTACGGACGACTACAGACGACTACTGCTAAGAGATTAAATCTAAATCGTTGATATTTATTTATCTAATCCTAGCCATCCAATTCAACACATATGCTACACAGTCATCAAGAGCTTGTTTGGTTAATAGATAATTCTTTTTACACACATGTTTTTATTTTTTTTAATAATATAAAAATAGCAGATTTTAATTTAAATATATGATGTTCAACCTTAAATCATCATTCACATTAAAATTGAACTTGATCTTCAACCTATGTCATCTTCATCCATAAACATTCCATCTTAAACTGAAAATTTATTTCAATGAATTTGTCAACCTAACTACAGTATATAATCATTTATATTGTTCAATTCATCAATTGTAGAATTAATTAATATATTTATCAATTATAGTAATGTGATTCGAGTATTAGTTAGATTAAAATAAACTTCAAAGTTCTAGATTTTGAGAAATAATTATTCAATCGAGTTGCAATAATTTATCTGGAGATCCGAATATAACATTTATTTCAGTATTAATTAAAATAATTTTGTGATTAATTTTGATATAATTTAATGATTAATCTTGTTGAATGTTGAAGATACATATAATGTCATTGTTGAATGTTGAAAATGCATAAGGTTGAAGATGACTAATATTTTTATAAATTTTTATTTACAAAATCCGTTGATTAGGTTCTTTTTTTTTTTTTTTTTTTTTTTGGAAACAAATTATTATAATCTGTTGATTTAGGGCCTTTTTTTTATGGAAATATATTATAAGATATTTTCTTAAATCAAACTGTTACATTTATGTTAATAAATAAATCCCAAATTCGAAAATATGTTCTTATCCTTAAATATTGCAATATATATATATATATATTAGCTAATAAACAATAATAAAACTTAAGTATTAATAAAATGATACGTAACCAAGAAGGCTAGAAAATTTTATGGAGTATTACACTGTTACTCCAACCTTTTATGGAGTATCATTTATGATATATTCTATGTATATTTCTTCCATACATACATAAAAAGGCCCATCAAATGATAGACAATTTCTCTTTTTTTTTTTTTTTTTTTTTCTTTGACTAGGCAAATTTTTTTTTTACTATTATCATATATAATTTAATTTGTATATGTTGATCCTCCTTTGCATAAATTTAAATGTTATTAAATACAAAAAATTGGCAAAAAATAATCTTTTAATTTTAAATGTTATATAAGATATTGTAACAAATCTATTCAAAAAAAAAAAAATATCTAATATATAATTTAAGAGTCGTTTTTACAACTTCTCACCACAACACTCTAATTCTTGAATGGAGCAATTCTATGCATTCTATTTATTTTTTTATTTTTTTTATTTTTTAATAACTTCCTCTCCAACTTTAACCATATCACAAATCACTTCCACTTTTTTTTTTTTTTTTTTTTTTTTTTTTTTTTTTTTATACCATTATGACTTCCAAATAATTTATTTTCTTTTACATATACATATGAAATACGTATATTCCGTGCGTTAGCACGAGTATACAGTTCCTTTATCAACAATTCACTATAGTACTCAAAATCCCCAACATTTCACTTTTTTTTTAAAAACACTACGTGCTAACATTTCACTTTGTTTTACGTGTATTATTTTTTGGTGCGTAGTATAATATATGTCATGCATTAGTACGAGTATACACTTCCTTTATCAGCAATTCACTATAGTACTCTAAATCCCCAAGCCTTCAACTATATGCATTTTTTAGGGATTACCCTCCAAACAATTTTCACTTCTCTAATCATAAAAAAAAAAAAAAAAAATGTACAACACGTTTTTGCGCAACTGGTCTCACCGAATAACTACTTGCAACTGAACAAAGTATGTAACTCATAGAGCAAGACACTAACCCATATGACACTAACTGAGTAACCCCTATAACACTGAACTAGTAACCTCTATAACTTTGACAAAGTAAACCCCATAATAGCTTGCTACATTGCGTGGCCACCGACATAAAAGAGTAAGACCATGTTTTTTTAGCTTCTATGCAAAGCAAAGAATATCATATTTTAGCAGAGCAATGTCAGCAGGGTAAAACAAGTGTCAACAGATTATTAATACTCAGTAGAGTAGAGTAAGTATTATAGAGTCTCAATAAAGAATATTTCGATGTTATGATAAACAAATTTGAATTAAGTATTATATATAGAGTCCCAAAAAAAATATTTGAACGTTATTATATTTAATTTAGGCAGTCCCAATTAAGTATTATACAGTCCCAATAAAGAATATTTGGAAGTATTATAATCAAATTAGGTAGTCCCAATACAGTATTATAGAATCCCAATAAAGAATATTTCGAGGTTATTATAATCAAATTAGCTCGTCCCAATTAATTTGAATGTTATTATATTTAATTTAGGCAGTCCCAATTAAGTATTATATAGTCCCAAAGAATATTTGGAAGTATTAGAATCAAATTAGGCAATTCCAATCGAGGCTATTATAATCAAATTAGGTTGTCCCAATTAAGAATTATAGAGTCCCAAAAAAGAATATTTGGAGGTATTATAATCAAATTAGGTAGTCCTAATTAATTATTATAGAATCCCAATGAAGAATATTTCAAAGTTATTATACTCAAATTAGGCAATCCCAATTAAGTATTATAGAGTCCCAATAAAGAATTTTTGAAGGTATATATATATATCTAATATATAATTTAAGAGACGTTTTTCACGAGAAGCCTCCAAATCCTCAATCCTAAGCTCTCATTCACTCCCTCTCAAACTTAAAATCCCTCCAATAATTTTATCTAATTTTAAAATTTAAATTTCAAAAAAAAAAAAAAAAAAAAATCTGGCTAATAAAAATGTTGTGTAACTGTTTAGCAGTTATGATTGCTAAAATAATTATCATAGGCCGAAAAACATGAATTTATAATTTCATGCCTCATACTCTTATCCTTTCTCATTCTTCCCCATACTCTCAATAACAATGGGTAACTGCACAACAGCACAAGTGCATGCAATGACAATTTTAATTCTCAAGAATCTTAAACGGTGGGTCGTGGGTGTTTTAGATTAGGATGAGAGCAATGAACTGTGGCAATGTGGGTGTTTTATTTGGTAATTGCATGTAACCAAAATCATAAAACTAATATAAAGTAATATAGTCATATGTGATTCTTTAAATGATACAGTTGATAATTTTGAAAATAGTTTGTTAAGTGGGTAATACTACTAATCTCTTTATAAATGGTTGGTTTTACTCTAGCATTTGAATTTTGATTGAAATGGTTGGTTTTTAAACTTGCAGGTTTATATTCATGGGAAGATGTATTTGCAGTTTGTATTGTTCATATAGTTGAAGTTAATTCTTTGGTTAAACACTTGAACATTAGTTGGTTTTTGAAGGAAAAGGCAGACGAAAATGATCAAGAGATCACTTGCAGTCTTGCACTCACCTAGCTATTTGGCTATTTGTATTTATTGGATTTACATTTTGTATTCTTCTGGATACTGTACAACAAGGTAATCTTTAATTCATTCATTTATAGCTTTGATTTGTTTCATTATCA